GATGATATTTGTATTACAGATTTTATTTTTGTATTACAGATTTGTCTTTATATTACAGATTTTATCTTTGTTTTACAGACTTATCTTCTTTTATCTTTGTTTTACAGACTTATCTTCATATTGCAGATTTATCTTCATATTTCAGATTTATTTTGCATTACAGATTTTATGTTTGTATTACAGATTTTTTCTTTGTATTACAGGTTTATCTTTGTATTACAGATTTATTGTTGTATTACAGATTTTATCTTTGTATTACAGATGCTGAATTGGAGGCTTCTGACACAATCTCTCTTAACATCAAGTTTGGTGAGGTAACAAAATATGAAGTAAAAGAACCAGAACTTCTCTCAGAATTGTCAAAAAGGTAAGCACTGGCAAGTGCACCTGCAAAAGCACTGAATATGGTATGATATCTTGGTTATTGGTCTGTACTTTTATAATATATTGGTTATTGACAATGACTGGTACAATATCTTGGTTATTGGCCTCTACTGGCTAAATGACATGGCTTTAAGTATATAAAATGTCACAAATGCTACTGTCAATGCCCACCTAGCTTTGGCTTATTATACAAAATTAAATATTTAAATTAGAAATTTTGAAATTTCAGGACATAAGGAGAAGTTTTCATAAAGCAATTATTCTGAAACCTTAATAGAGATACTCAGAACCTGGCAAATGTGGGTTTTCCCCATGTTTTGAACCTGGCAAATACGGGTTTTTCCCATGTTATCTTAGGGTACAAACAAACATTTACAGTTATAACCTGGTTAATATATATGAGCCGCGTCACGACAAAACCAACATAATGGGTTTGCGACCAGCATGGATCCAGACCAGCCTGCGCATTCTCGCAGTCTGATCAGGATCGATGCTGCTCGCTTACAAACCCTATAACAAGTAGAGCGGATGCGCAGGCAGGTCTGGATTCATGCTGGTCGCAAACCCATTATGTTGGTTTTGTCGTGATACGGCTCATATTGATAATACAACACATTGATGACTCAATTATGAACAGTTATCATGTAGCTTAAATGGTCAACAGTTGGTTTGTACCCGGGGGGGAAAATGCATTTGATAAAGTTTCGTATAACATAAATTTATTGTCACATTTTTGTGCTATTCATGAAAAGTTTATGTATTGTCTGTAAGTATGAAAACAAATACAAATTGAATTCAGATAAATGAACTATACAATAGTTACCTTATTAAATGTTTAAAGGCACATTATGCCCCAGAAACAGATAATTTTTTACTTCTTTAGAAAGGTCAAATATGAATTTTATATGCTAAAATAATGGTTTTAGAGAATTTTAGATGCTTGTTACCTGAAGAAAGAAGTGATAAATGTGAAATAATTTGCCATAAAAGGTAGAAAATGTAAACAAAGTAGTATTTTGACTTCCATACAAAATACAAATTCACAGTAACTGTACTTATTACCAAGAAGCGGGTCTCTAAAGAAGCCACTGTTGAAAAAGATGGTTCCGGTAATTGGCCAATGAGTAACTAAATTTGTATTTACTTGTAAAAGGTCGCCAACATTAAAAAGCTTTAGAGAAATAAAAACAAAAGCATTTCTCTGAGCGCATAATGGGCCCTTTTAAATAGACATTGGATATCCAATTTTAATCATAAAATTTTTCTTTTAAATCTTTTGTCAAAATATCAACATGGATCATCTTATAAAATTACGTCAGATTACAGGATCGGACAGTCATTAAATCATTATGTTTTTGAAAACTGGTGTTGCTTGTCTTAAAAATGCGTGGCAGTATACACAAGAAACAGATATTGATACAGAAAGCAAGCCTTAAAAGCCTCGGTATAAGTACTTTACCAAATGTTGATAACCAGGGGGCCCAAAAAACCCCTTTCCCTTGTGTAGAGGCCGAAATATTAGGCTGCTTCCCCAACCAAACTAACCCTCTTTTTTTCCCCCCCAGTTTAGTCCTCAAAATTTCCCCCATTTCTTTTTAAATTCCCATTTAGAAAAAATTTTTAAAAATTGATGATGTTAAAATTAACGTTTTTTTACTGATTTTTTAAAGTTTTTTTCCCAGTGTTTTTTTGCTTTTCCCCTATAAAGGGAATTTGTTAAAAGTTTTTTGTTTAAATTTGGAGACCCCTTATTTTAAAGTATCCCAAAAATCACGCATTTTTTTTTCCCAAAAGAAAAAGGCTTGGGGGCCCCTTTCCCCCAAAAAAAAGGGGGTTTTTGGGACCCTGATTGGGGAAGGGGGGGTGGGGGGGGGGGGGGTTTATTTTGGCATTTTGAAAAAATTGGCAAAAATACGTAATATTGCCAGTTTGGGACAGCTTTTTTTTATTGCGCAAAGATTAAACCCTTTGGATAGGGTTTTTTCCCAATATTTTTTGGGTTAATTACTTTTGGTTAAACTTTTCCCCAATTTTTAATGTTTAAAAACCAATAAAAAAACAAAATATGTTTTTAAGAAAAAAGACCCCCCACCCCAAAGACACCTTTCCCCTAAGTTTAACCCTTAAGAAAGAGGGGGCCTTATTCCTTTTTTCCCTTGGTTGTGGTCCTTACCAGTAGTTTACTATGTTTTTGCATAGGCCCCTTTAAAAATAAATTTATTGCAGTTTTAATTTAAAGAAAGCCCCAATAAAAACAAAAAAACCCATTAAAAATTAAAATAAACTTAGGTTTACCCCTTATCACCTGGTCGGGAATTTTAATTTCCTAGGTTTATGATCTTTTTTGGAAAAATTAACCCCCCCCATTGTATTCTTGAGCTGTCTCGATTAAAAGGCTTTAAAGGTTGGGTTTAACCCCATTAATTTTGGGTTTGTTTAATTTTCTTTCGGGGTTGATTCAATAATTGTTACACATTCCATGAAAAATGGATATTTTCATTAATTATTCAAATGTCTATAAATTATAAACATTCACAAAAAAACATTTACAAAAGCAGGTGGCCATGTCAAACACTAAACTGTTGTTACAGAATGGACACATTTCATAGCAGTGATGACAACAAATGAAAAATGGTCATGTTCATACAAGTATGTTTTGTCCTGTTTAAAAATGAAAAATGGTCATAAGAAAATCATGCAAAGGTCATTTTTAAACAGGATAAAACATACTTGTATGAACATGTATTTGACCAAAATCTTAGGTATGACAGTGAATTATATACAAGAAATTAGGAGTAATTATCGATATACCGCAGTGACATTGTACTTGTCCTAGGATATCCATGTATTGTTTATATTCTTTGCACTGAATCAATGAAAACTCTTTGTTGTTTAAAAATTCCCACTTTTTAAGCTTTTTTTGGCTAAGATTTAAAAAAGGGTATAAAAAATTATTTTTTTTCCCATTTTTAAAAAAGGGACCCTGAAATTCTCTTCGGGTTTTTAACGTCTTAAAAATCCTTTTACATCGGCCCCCGCTCCTTTTCCCACCAGGGGCATTCCAATGTACATGAGCGGGCACTTTTGATAAGGGACGGGGGCCGGGAGGTTAAAGTGTTTGTTTAAAGGTATTTGGTTTTGGCTTGCCTGGGAGTTTTTTTTTCCCCCCCTTGGGGGATAGGTCCCCCTGCCTTTAAATTTTTTTTAATTTTTTGGGAAGTCTTGCCTGAGACTTTTTTTTCCCGTGTAAGTAAGAATCCGGGCTGCTTACTAAAGGTTGGGGGGGTTTTTCCCTAAATTTGGAAATAATTTGTCTTTTACAGCCCTTGACCAAAGTCTTTTACTTTTGGTAGCTTAATGTTTTGTTTATTAGCTCGACTATTCGATAAGAATAAGTAGAGCTATTGCAGTCACCCGAGCGTCGGCGTCGGCGTAACCACTTATGTTAAAGTTTTTGTAATAGTTCAAATATTTTCAAAGTCCATTGACATATGGCTTTGAAACTTTGCACACTTGTTAACCATCATAACCCCAACCTGTAGACAGGAGAAGGTAACTCTATCAAGCATTTTGACAGAATTATGCCCCTTTTTTCGACTTAGAATTTATGTTAAAGTTTTTGTAATAGTTCAAATATTTTCAAAGTCCATTGACATATGGCTTTGAAACTTTTGCACACTTGTTCACATCATGACCCCAACCTGTAAACAGGAGGAGGTAACTCTATCAAGCATTTTTGACAGAATTATGCCCCTTTTTCGACTTAGAATTTACGTTAAAGTTTTTGTAATAGTTCAAATATTTTTCAAAGTCCATTGACATATGGCTTTGAAACTTTGCACACTTGTTCAACATCATGACCCCAATCTTTAAACAGGAGGAGGTAACTCTATCAAGCATTTTGACAGAATTATGCCCCTTTTTCGACTTAGAATTTATGTTAAAGTTTTTGTAATAGTTCAAATATTTTCAAAGTCCATTGACATATGGCTTTGAAACTTTGCACACTTGTTCAACATCATGACCCCAACCTGTAAACAGGAGGAGGTAACTCTATCAAGCATTTTGACAGAATTATGCCCCTTTTTCGACTTAGAATTTACGTTAAAGTTTTTGTAATAGTTCAAATATTTTCAAAGTCCATTGACATATGGTTTTGAAACTTTGCACACTTGTTCAACATCATGACCCCAATCTGTAAACAGGAGGAGGTAACTCTATCAAGCATTTTGACAGAATTATGCCCCTTTTTTTGACTTAGAATTTATGTTAAAGTTTTTGTAATAGTTCAAATATTTTCAAAGTCCATTGACATATGGCTTTGAAACTTTGCACACTTGTTCAACATCATGACCCCAATCTGTAAACAGGAGGAGTTAACTCTATCAAGCATTTTGACAGAATTATGCCCCTTTTTCGACTTAGAATTTATGTTAAAGTTTTTGTAATAGTTCAAATATTTTCAAAGTCCATTGACTTATGGCTTTGAAACTTTGCACACTTGTTCCCCATCATGACCCCAACATGTAAACAGGAGGAGGTAACTGTATCAAGCATTTTTTTTACTATCAAGCACTAAGAATAGTCGAGCGTTGCTGTCCTACTGACAGCTCTTGTTTTGATATTGAAATCACTATAACTATAAATGGACTGTTCCAAATTCAAAGCTGGACTTGTCCGTGTAAGATATTTGGTAGGCTAAAAGTGAAAGTATTTTTTACTATAACAGGACGTTACGGAGGGTTCAGGGACAGGATTGGGTATGACGAGGTCGATGCCGTACCTGGTGACGTGGTAAACACGGATGCGGGGACTGAGATGAAGAAACAGATGGGTAACTTAATCTATAAATATGCTTATTCACTGTAAACAGAACTTATATAATTCGTCAAATTTACTATTTTCAGTTAAAGGCCCATTATGCCCCAGAAACCAATAGAATTGTAATGCTTTAGAAAGGGCAGACATGAGTTTTACAATGTTTTAAGAATGGTTTTAGAGCAAGTTAGATGATTTTCACCTGAAGAAAGTAGCCCTGAATGTGAAATTATTTGTCATAAAGGTAGCAAGATTTAAACAAAGTAGTATTTTTTTTATTCATACAAAATACATAATCACTAATATAGTATAATAATTGCCAAAAAGGACAAAGCAAAAGATGGTCCAAGTAATTGGCTAATGAATAACAGGAGACAAAAAAAAGGCTTTTAAGAAATAGAAATAAAAGCATTTCTGAGTTATACTGGGCCTTTAATAATGGACATGTTCATTATATAAGATACTAGCTTTTTTATGCTCCCCGAAAAATTTCGGGGGAGCATATAGTCGGAGCCTTGTCCGTCTGTTCGTCCGTCTGTCCGTCCGTTGTCTTGTCCGCAGCATAACTTGAAAACCCTTGGAGATAATTTGTTTAAACTTCATACAGTGGTAGAGGGCATTGAGGGGGAGTGCAGTGCAAAAGAACCATAACTCTGTTAAGCCTCATTTTTGAATTATCTCCCCTTTTAGAAAAATCTTGTCCAGGACATAGCTGTAAAACTATAAGAGATATCAACATGAAACTTTGTAGGTAGATATATCTCAGTGGGTAGATGTGCAGTGCACAAGAATCATAACTCTGTCTTGCCTAATTCTGGAGTTATTGCCCTTTGTTTATTTTTACTTTTTGAAGCTGTCCTGGACATAACTCGGAAACCATAAGAGATATCAACAAGAAACTTTGTAAGTTGATAGATTACATTGACTAGAAGTGCAGTGCAAAGAACTGTAACTCTGCCTTGCCTAATTTTGGAATAATTGCACTTTGAACTTTTTCCAGGGACATAACTCTGAAACTACAAGAGGCGTACTATCCTGTGTCCAAAACCTGTTCGGGGAGCATCACCCGGCTCAAACAGGGCTCTTGTTAAATGTGTTCGCTGGATTTTCCACCCATTTTGATTTAAACCTTTAATTTTAACATAGGTCTAAAGAATCTTAATCAAATATGTTACTCTGATAAAATAATTGAATGATTATAACATTTTCTTGTAGAAATTGACTTGGACTATCCAAAGAAAGTTTTTGCCCCTCTGTTTGAACTGACAGCAGCTGACAGAACCAAGTTAAATAGCTTGTTATTACAGTTGATGTCTGTGCCACGAGATATGGTTGTCCTCTCAGACCTTGTAAGTATCTGAGTTAAAGATTAGTTAATTAATTATTTAAATACATGTATATAGAATAATTAGGACTGGGAATGAATAAGGTATTCGATGCTCGAATATTTGTTTTCTATGTTCGAATATTCAACTAAAAGCAATTTGTACCAATATTTATCCATAATGTAGTAAAACTTTTCACAATTAATAGGTGATTATTGCTGACACGCTTCATACAAACATACGAAAACCTGGTCAAGTGTAGTTCAAGGGTTTAATTTACGATCTTAATTGAAATTTGAAATTAAATTTAAAAAAAAACATGTCAAAACATTTCCTTTGGTTTTTTTTTCGTATTTGTTTTTCAACATTCAAATATTCGGTAGTGTTTTGAATATTCGAATAAATTCCTGGCCCTAAAAATAATACTTTACATGACTTTGCCTGTATCAACTGCCTCTTTGAACAATTCATAACTACATGTAACTTCAATCACTATGATACATTACAGATTCATCCTCATGTGTTTTTAGTCCCCTACCGGTTTAACCGGAGGGGACTTTAGGTTTACCCTCCGTCCGTCTGTCTGTCTGTCCGTCTGTCTGTCAGTCCGTCAGTCCGTCCGTCCACAAAACTGGATCCCGCGATAACGCAAAAAGTACTAAAAATATTTTTATGAAACTTGGTATATGGATAGATGGCAGTATGGACATTATGCACGTTTTTTTTTCTTCCTATGTTGAAAATTCTGGTTGCTATGGCAACAAATAGTCTGAAAATATGGCAAATTTAACACATAAACTGGATCCAGTGATAACTCAAAAAGTACTGAAAATATTTTTATGAAACTTGAAATATGGGTAGATGGCAGTCTGGAGATTATGCACATCTTTTTCTTTTTTTCCTATGTTGAACATTCTGGTTGCTATGGCAACAAATAGCCTGAATTTCAAGATTTCTGATTTAAATTTTTCAGCTTTTTCACTATATGTTCTTTATTTCTTAAGGTGTTTACTTCAAACTTTAAATATAAGTTTCTGGTCATCAAGCGCATCATATGTGACAATGTTTATAACTCTAGCACAAAATTATCAGTATTACCTCCCTTGAACTTAGATTTTTTTAGGGGAAAAAATGTTGTCTTTTTTAAATAACTTCTTTATTTCCTAATGTATCTACTTCAAACTTCATATATATGTTTCTTATTATCACTCAACATTTTTGAGAAGGTTAAATACTCTAGCAAGACTATTTCCAGAATTATGTCCCCCTTGAACTTGGATTTTTTTCGAGAAACTGGTATTTTCACTCCAACTTCTTCATCCCTTATAGGATTTACTTTAAAATCCCACATCGTAATAATATGACAAGGTTGTATAAATATTATTTCCTTACTAGGCATGGAAACTTAACACATTACTGTGATATAGACAAACTTATTTTATTATGTTTTGTGGTTGATATTTTCAAATACAGACTTCATCCTCAAATTCATTATAAATGGCAATACACATGAGTGTATGACAATTAAAGAACTTTTTGAGGGACCGGTAGGGGACTACTGTATTGCCCGCAATACTATCAAATGCTTGTTTAAAATGGACTTACAAATTAGAATTACCCTGGCATGTGTCTGAAAATAATTTTTTTAGAAAATCACAAGTCTTCATCTAGTACAATGTCAAGTAATATGTTTTAGAAAATATCTCATACCTAGGATGACAAAATAAACATCGGATACCTCTGAAAGTGATATAATGTAGAATGAAATGTTCTGTGACAAGTAATGTTAACTAACTAAGATGTGAGCTAGGGTTGATATCATCTTGTAAAAAATGAACATTTTTGTTTTATCTTCCTATTTAATATGGTGTGATATTTATTTTATTATACCGGACAAATTTTAATATACAAGATAGACATTTCAAACATAATGATAATACAATGTAACTAGAACCCAGCAACGTGTATGCACATTCGGACCATTTGGTAGTATCAGTAGGTCAAAATACCATGTGACCATGTGACATTATATAAATGTCACATGAAAACAACATGTACAACCAGGACAAGTAAGTCAAAGGGGCATTAGCGTAGGTTGACATGATCTTGTCAGGGATAAACATTATAAACTACTCATTCATTAGTAAAGATTTTGGATCCATTGAACTTTTATGTAATGTTATGTAATTTGGCTTAACCCTTTACGTCATATATACGTGAAACAACGCACTTTCGACCCCTCCCCCTCTTTTAGGCCTCAAATAGTGAAAAATGTCCTATTTGTGCCCCAAACACATGTTTTTGTTTGAGAAATGTTGCTTAAAAAAGTGAGCACTTTTTGGCGCCGCCCCCCACAGGGATGTGCCCCTTTCTGTTTGGGGAATTTGAAGGGGGTGGCAGTCCCCCTCATCGCCAAGAAAATTTTGGACTTGAGAGGCTAAAAATGACCCCAGGTCGATCATAAGGTAACGTGTAACCAACACTGAAAAGTCTTTGACTCTATCTCAATCCCTTGAGAAGTTGCAGTACTTTGAAATAAATTTTGATGGAAAAAAATCAAGAAAAATAGTGATTTTTGGCAATTTTGAGATGTCCCCTCGTTGCCATGGTAACAGGAAATTTAAGACTGAGCATGTTGTTACAAAGGCAATGGTCCAGTCAATATTTGTGCCAAGTTTGATTATTATTGAAGCATTTTTCATAGTTTCATAGTAGTTTGAACTTGTAACAGGAGGCTTTTCAATGAAAACGGCCATTTTTCACAATATGCTCTTGACGGAAAGGATGAAAAGGGTTAATTATTTTCAATTTTACCATTCTATATATCAAAATTACTATTCCAATGTTTTTTTGTTTTTTTTTTAAATATGTTAACATATGTTTTGCATATGTTTTGACTTTAGTTGGATGATGTTGGCAGAGGTAAACAACTTCAGTTCAAGATGGATGACCTAAAAGGGAAATTTCTATCATCAGATGACTCCTGGACTGAAATCCTGACATTTGCTGGCTTCCAAGTAAAAGTGAGTTGACTCTTCTCATGCTTTTGTTTTCTTCGACAAAACAAACCCATTTGATTAAAGCTCGAATTTCACTTATTTTGTCCTACCATTTCACTGTGGATAAACAAGTTAACTTCCTGTACCATTTCACTGTGCATAAACAAGTTAACTTCCTAGACCATTTTACTGTGGATAAACAAGTTAACTTCCTGTACCATTTCACAGTGGATAAACAAGTTAACTTCCTGTACCATTTCACAGTGGATAAATAATTAACTTCCTGTACCATTTCACAGTGGATAAACAAGTTAATTCCTGTACCATTTCACAGTGGATAAACAAGTTAACTTCCTGTACCATTTCACTGTGGATAAACAAGTTAACTTCCTGTACCATTTCACAGTGGACAAACAAGTTAACTTCCTGTATTATTTCACTTTGGATATACAAGTTAACTTCCTGTACCATTTCACTGTGGATAAACAAGTTAACTTCATGTTACCATTTCACAGTGGATAAACAAGTTAACTTCCTGTACCATTTCACAGTGGATAAACAAGTTAACTTCCTGTACCATTTCACAGTGGATAAACAAGTTAACTTCCTGTACCATTTCACAGTGGATAAACAAGTAAACTTCCTGTACATTTTCACTGTGCATAAACAAGTTAACTTCCTGTACCATTTCACTGTGGATAAACAAGTTAACTTCCTGTACCATTTCACAGTGGATAAACAAGTAAACTTCCTGTACATTTTCACTGTGGATAAACAAGTTAACTTCCTGTACCATTTCACTGTGCATAAACAAGTTAACTTCCTGTACCATTTCACAGTGGATAAATAAGTTAACTTCCTGTATCATTTCACAGTGGATAAACAAGTTAACTTCCTGTACCATTTCACAGTGGATAAACAAGTTAACTTCCTGTTTCCACAAGGAAATATATAGGCCTCTAAGAAAAGTACAGTGACCAGTGATAGCATGTGCTTGTAATTGCACGATACGGTGTACGTTGAATTTTAGACGCTTACATGACTGGGTGATTTTGTTTATCCACTGTTTGTTTGTGTAAATAGATGTAGTGATCTTGTTTAAACCTTATATACATTGCATGCAGTTTACTTTTGATAGTTGTTGATTTTACTAATTGGACCAACCAGCACTGACACTATTTGAGGTCTCAGCCTGGAATTATTCAGATGTTTAGAATCTTACATCGGCTGCTTGTACAGACTGAAATATTAAGCTTAAGGGTAACTGTTTTGCTTCCCAAGAGCTCAATTATCCCATGAGTGTTGGATTCTTTTTCTTGTATATTACGGAAAAATAATTTTTCTTCTTGAAAGAAAGTACCAAAACCAATATTCTCATAAAAAGACATTTTTTATGGTAGCATATAAATTTATGACTTTATTCACAACAGAGAAATGACTTCACATGTAATTCATTCATAAAAGGTGAGCAGGAATGAGGCTATTAAAAGTGCATGACTTGTTTTACACAAGATGACTATAGGATGTATTTTGCTAGCACCAGTGTAATATGTAGAAAAATCTTGTCTGATATTGCAAGAATTGTATGTGATCTCGCACGCACAAAAATAGAGATAAGATATGTACGGCGTCACGACAAAACCAATGTAATGGGTTTGCGACCTGCATGGATCGAGACCAGTTTGCGCATCCGCGCAGTCTGATCAGAATCCATGCTGTTTGCTTACAAACCCTTTTACAAGTATAGAAACTGATAGCGAACAACATGGATCCTGATCAGACTGCGCGGATGCGCAGGCTGGTCTGGATCCATGCTGGTCGCAAACGCACTATGTTGGTTTTGTCGTGACGCGGCTCATAATTGTACAATAGTTTCTGTGTCTGTTATAGGATGGCCATTTGTCTCACTCGGACAAACCGAGCACGATGTTTCACGCTATTGAGGAATATTTCGATGCTGCTAGTATGTTGGATGATGACATGTTTGACCTAATAAAACAATTTTCACCACAAACAGCCGACGCCATGCTTACAGTGGTATTTTGTTTTACTTTCATTCTCTATACATTTGAATGTGATATACATTTGATTTATATTTAGCAATATATAGACATTATGTGTGTATGTTTATTTATACTGTCGCCACTTTACACATATGTGTTTTATAGAGGGTATTTGTTTAGTTCAGTGTATATATACCATATAAACGTCATGATTATCCAATGAAAAGCGACGTAACAAATGTGTAGTATTATAAAATATACTATGTAAAAGAAAATAATTATAATAAAATAGTTTACATGAACAATCAAATTTTGTGATATACATTTATTTATAGTTGCCACTTTATACATATGTGTGACATAAATTTAATTATAGTTGCCACTTTACACATATGTGTGATATCAATTTAATCATAGTAGCCACTTTACACATATGTGTGATATAAATTTCATTGGTTACCTCACAATTTCATGAGGCGATTAAACCAATCAAAACTCTAGTTCTCAAACAACATTTGGTAAACATGATTTTATTGGTCGACATTTTATGCATCTGTTGCTTTAGATGGAGGCAATTTGATTCAATTACCCACCTTGTGATACATGTTTATCAACCATGGGTATCCAACAATGACAGAAGTGACATTAATTTACTATTTTTAAGTTTTTATGAAAATATTTCATTACATAAAGCTGTATACTGAGATATAACATTGACTTGATGAAATAATTCAGCTATATTATTTTTTATTTCAGCTGTATAAGGGTATTAAAGGGAAAGATGTCAGTGATCCAGTCACGGTTCAAGCTTGCCTCGGAGATTCTACCTGTATTAAAATATTGCTGGATCTACAGTATAGTATACAAGGTGAAATGCTCAAGGCTCCGGAACACCTTGTCTATATAATTGATGAAGTGTATTGGGTTATATATGCATTGTATGGTAATGATAAGAATAGACAATGAGAAGAGAAGAATTGTAACAGTGGTATAGTGAATGTTTAAAGGAATACACAGGCAAAAGAATGACAAAAAGATTAATTTGGTCTTGTTTACTCAAATCACATTTTAAATGAAATGAAAGTCCAATCACGTTTTATCTATATAAATAATATATTAATAAGGTTTTGAATTTAAATTATATGAATGTATGTTAAAGGAAATTGAAATGCAGATGGAATCATGCAGTTATTTTACAAAACATGGGGTGGCTTTATTATATAGAGATTAAATGTATTGTAAATTTATTATTTTTTCCTTTTGGTTATTACAGTTAGGTTGTACTTTATATGAGCCGCGTCACGACAAAACCAATATAGTATGTTTGTGACCAGCATCCGCGCAGTCTGGTCTGGATCCATGCTGGTCGCAAACGCTCTATGTTGGTTTTGTTGTGACGCGGCTCATATAATTTTTTTTGTAGAAATTGAGATATATCATGCATTTCATTATAGTATAGTTTAAAAAAATGTATAGTCTGTTTCAAAGCTTATTTTTCAAATAGTATAGTTTTGAAAATGTATAGTCTCTTTCAAAACTTATTTTCAAATAGTATAGTTTTGAAAATGTATAGTCTGTTTCAAAGCTTATTTTTCAAATAGTATAGTTTTGCAAATGTATAGTCTGTTTCAAAGCTTATTTTTCAAAAAGTATAGTTTTGAAAATGTACAGTCTGTTTCAAAGCTTATTTTTGTATGAGAAAGTTTATTATGTATGAAATTAGTTTGTCATGCATGTCATATTTGGCCGATGTACTTGTATTTATTGTAAATATGTCATCTCATGGACAAGTCTGGTTTACCGGCTTTGCGAAATTAAGATTTTCATGTTGCATGTCAGCAGATGATTAGTCAGTATTAAAAAAAAAAAAAAAAAAAAAAAAAAAAATTATTGTGTATGAAAATGTATAAATATCTACAATCTATGCAATGCCTTTCATGCAATGTGATAACACTGATTAATATACAATATAGTATGGTAGTATGATTATAATTTTACTATTTTTATAACCATATTTTTACCATGTTACTAACAGCTAGATTTTTCTGTTTTTCTTACTTTTCTTTTTTCCCCATATTTTGACACATTTGATAATATATCTATACATGCTATGTATATAATGCTCTTTTTTGGCTAAGATTTACATTATTTGCTTAATTGACATTTTGCATATTTTTTTGTACTAGTTAAAACTTAAATTTGCTGCTGAAATTTAAAAACAACAATAACAACAGTATTTACACATAAATCCAGGGACTAGATGTAGATCTGTTTGAATATGTAATTGTCAGGAATTTTAATGCCAAAATATAAATGTTATCAGTTAGTTTTTACTCAGTAATACTGAGTTTTGTCACACTATATATCTGGACTGGTTTACTTGTATTTATACACGTGAAAATGTGCTGTAAACCCTTGTTACATGAGCTCGGATGATTTATTTTTATATCAATTTATTTTTGAACTATATTTGATCTTTTTTTAGGAAAAATTAATTAAGAATTAATAAAAAGTATATTTTAACTAATTTTAGATTCATTGAGTTCGATTTTTCCTGCCAAAATTTGATTGTTCATGTAAACTTTATTATTATAATTATTTTCTTTTGTAAAATTGGAATGTTGCGATATGATCTATACTGTGTCGCTGTTACGTAAAACCAAAAACATACAAAAAAAACAACAAAAATCTATGTTAGTTGTAAACATCCCTCATAATTGGTTATATAATTAGGCAAAAATATATATATTATTATATATCACATACATGTACATGTAAAACATGACCCAGAAGTGTAATAAAGCCACTTAATAAAAACAATTTTACACTAGTGTAAGAACACTGATGTGACATCATTTGTATTAAAGTAAATGTCACATTGTAGGTGCGTCAACGAAAAATGACTCTTTGTTTTAAATATAAATCATTCTTATTTTGAATATGTGATACATAGAATATTATATTCGTGTAGATCAATACTAAATTTTTTGAACTTGTTGAATACAACCAGAGGCTCGCCATAATATAATTTTATTCAACATATTCACTTAATTAAGTATTAATTTTCACTCATTCAGTATGATCTATAAATGATCGGCGTCATGACAAAACCAACATGGTGCATTTGCGACCAGCATGGATCCAGACCAGCCTGCACATCCACGCAGTCTGATCAGGATCCATGCTGTTCGCTTACAACTCCATAACAAGTAGAGAAACTGATAGCGAACAGCATGGATCCTGATCAGACTGCGCGGATGCGCAGGCTGGTCTGGATCCATGCTAGTCGCAAACCCATTATGTTGGTTTTGTCATGACGCGGCTCATACATTTAAAAGTTGATGGAAAATTTGTGAACAGTATGCAAGCATCAGTAAAGTGCTAAAATGTTAGTGGTACTTTATTCTGTAATAGAAATTAATGTGCCAATAAAATGTATGCAGCATAAAATGCTAATAGATTAAAATCTATGTACAATTGCAGTATATCTAAATTGCAAAGACAATGTGCAAATAGATTTTTTTTTTGTTTTTTAAAAAAGACCCTTGTGAAGAATTGACGGAAAATTTAATACTTGACATTTCGTGTGTATCTTTTCTATGTACGAAATATACCTGTGTTAATATGTATAGTTAAAGGATTGTCTTTATAGGACATATAGATAAATAGAATCAACATTATTCCAGAGTGCCAGTCTTCAATCATTATTGGCTGGACTACCGCCTCCGTGGTCGAGGGGTAAGAGTCAATGACTCCTAATCCAGTTACCTCTTTGGCGTGGGTTCGTTCCCCGGGAGATGCTTTGGTAGTTTAGCGTGTAGGAAGGTAGTCTAGTACTGGTGTAACTCTCCAGGGCTTTCATTTGTTCAAATAAAAGCCCTGGGGTAAAAATTGGCCTGCCCTAGGGGGTCATTGATTTTAATTATTTTGTATAGAGTAAAAACTTAATAATCTTCCTTTAAAAAACCAAAAAAAATTGAGTTTAGATACTAAGCATGAAATATTTTCTAGTTAGTGTCTACCAGGTTTGAATAAATAAGAGCCCTGGGGTCAAAATTGGCCCCTCCCGGGGGGGGGGGGGGCAGAGGTCATTAGTTTTTCCTATATGTATATAGTAAAAACTTTAAAAAAATCTTCTTATAAAAACCCCAAAGAGTTAAAGCTTAGATATTTATCATGAAACGTCTTCTAATGGCTGTCTACCAAGTTTGTTCAAATTAAAGTCCCTGGTTTAAAATTGGCATTGGCCCACAGGTGAGAGATTTCAGCGTCATTATGGCCCTCTTGTTTCTTTTGTTAGGTCCTCTTTGGCCTTCCTTTTCAGTTTAGCCCACTTTCAATGCAAGCTAATGTTCTGCCCCAGATCAGTTATCTTGCAACTGATGTTTTTCCAAATTTCAGACTTTCAGCCCAGATAACCTATAAAAACCTTTATAACTTATAATACATGTACCTAGAATATTATGGATTGTTGAATGTTAAAGTGTTGAACATGTATATTTTATTTGCAGTCATCACTACAATATTGTTTTTTATGCCCCCGCTATTTGATTCTTGTTTAATTATGTGTTAATTGCGGTCTGTAGTAGATTGATTACAGTGAGTGCCTTCTTTATTGCAGAATTACAAATAGAATTGTTGGTAACAAGGTGCTTATGACTATTTTTGTGATACTAGAATTATGTGTTATCAACAAACATTGAAAATGTTGAAATAATAACATGTATGCTTAAACTGTTATTTCCTTTTTACATTGTTTTAAGATTACTTTTATTATTGTACTAAAAAAAACCTGAAGTCAATTTCTAGATTTATTTGTAAAATCTCTAGGAAGTTGATTTTAACACTTTAATTATTTAATACTTAATTTATTATGCCCCCGCCATGTAATGGCCGGGGCATATAGTGTTACCCTGTTCCGTCCTTCCGTCATTCCGTCATTCTGTCATTTCGTCATCATCAGTTTCCGTTCATTATCTAAGTAACGGTTGCACACATTCAACTCAAATTTGACATATGGATATGTCATGAGAAAATACAGGTCAAGTTCGAATTTTGTCATGGTTCGATGATTTTTGGCAGAGTTATGCCCCTTTTACTTTGAAAATAATATGAAATTTTCAGTTTCCGTTCATTATCTCCCCAAAGGTACAACACATTCAACTCAAATTTGACATATGGATATGTCTTGAGAAAATACAGGTCAAGTTCGAATGTGGTCATGGTTCGATGATTTTTGGCAGAGTTATGCCCCTTTCACTTTGAAAATAATATGAAATTTTCAGTTTCCATTCATTATCTCCCCAACGGTACAACACATTCAACTCAAACTTGACATATGGATACATCAAAGGAATGCGCAGGTCAAGTTCAAATTTGGTTGTGGTTCGATGATTTTTGGCAGAGTTATGCCCTTTTCACTTTGAAAATAATATGAAATTTTCAGTTTCTATTTATTATCTCCCCAACAGTACAACACATTCAACTCAAATTAAACATATGGATACGTTTTTGGAATGCCCAGGCCAAGTTCGAATATGGTCATGGTTCAATGATTTTTGCAGAGTAATGCCCCCTTTACTTTGAAAATAATATGAAATTTACAGTTTCTGTTCATTATCTACCCAACAGTGTTACATATTCAACTCAAATTTGACATATGGATATGTCAAAGGAATGGGTAGGTCAAGTTGGAATTTGGTCATGGTTCGATGATTTTTTGGCAGAGTTATGTCCCTTTCACTTTGAAAATAATATAGATACATCTTAGGAATAAGCAGTTTAAGTTTGAATTTGGTCGTGGTTCAATGATTTTGGACAAACTTATCTTTCTTGAATGTTGGAAAAATTTTGAACTTTCAGTTTCAGCACTCATACTTTTGTGGAAAGTTTGAATTTGGTCGTGGTTCAATGATTTTGGACAAACTTATCTTTCTTGAATGTTGGAAAAATTTTGAACTTTCAGTTTCAGCACTCATACTTTTGTGGAAAGTTTGAATTTGGTCGTGGTTCAATGATTTTGGACAAACTTATCTTTCTTGAATGTTGGAAAAATTTTGAACTTTCAGTTTCAGCACTCATACTTTTGTGGAAATGTATGTAGCCATTATTTTGGCTACAAATATGAAATATGCTATTTTCAAAAGGTTAAGACTAAATAATTTCCGTGCTTTGAACATTGTATGAAAATGGTTTGTGTTAACATTGAAAAGTTTTAAGGGCTTTGAACTGCAAATGAAAAAAATTATTTGTGCAAACAAATTTGGAACTGAATATTATAACATCTGAAATTTTGGCTGCATGCGGGGGCATCCGTGGCATGATGACACATTTCTAGTTTAATACTTAAATTATTTAATACTTAAATGCTTAAAACTGTCATACATGTACTTGAAACCATTTGAGCTGCGTCACGACAAAACCAACATAGTGCATTTGTGCAGTCTGATCAGGATCCATGCTGTTCGCCATCAGTTTCTCTACTTGTAAAAGGGTTGGTAAGCGAACAGCATGGATCCTGATCAGACTGGTCTGGATACATGCTGGTCGCAAACACATTATGTTGCTTTTGTCATGATGCGGCTCATTTTATTAAAATATATAGGTGATGCGATAGCTCAATTTGTCACGCCACTGACTGTCACTCCTGAGGTTCTGGATTCGATCCTGGGTAACACCCTTGGGATTTTTCAGAGACACTTTCAGTGTTTCCCACCTACCTAGAGGTTTACTGGTAAGAAACCCAGGTAATCCTCGCATGTATCAGTGCTATTCAATAAGAGCTAGGGACTTGTTCCCGGACTCCCTTGTATCTCATAGCTGTATCTAGAGTCTGCTGAGGTAAGGACCCTACTGGAAATAAGTGCTTGCACTTTTGGAGGTTATCCTTGATCGCCCGGTCTAAAGAAAATCAATCAATCAATCAAATATCTTAATGCAGTTGTTCACATAGGAACAATGATTTGTTTTTACTAGAGATGTTTATACCCTATGTCTTATTTTGAGTGACATTTCTTCATTAAAATAAAACTTCTGTTTTTTACTCATGACTTTGTTGTTTTAAATTTGTTGTGTAAACCTTTTAGGTCTATACAAAAAGATTTTTTATGCTCCCACAAAGTGGGTGGCAAAAAGCGTTGCACTTGTTCGTCCGTCCGTCCGTACATCCCGAAATCTTGTGAACGCAACTCCTCTTAAACGGGATGGCAGATTTTGCTTAAACTTCAAGGGATGAACAACCTTAATGTGTACATGGAAGTAAAGGAAGGAATTTTTGTTGCGACCAAATTTAACAGAATTATGGCCCTTTGTTATTTTTTTCACTATATACCATATAGAAATTTTGTGAACGCAACTCATCTTAAACCGGATGGCAGATTTTGCTTAAATTTCCAGGGATTAACAGCTTAACTGTGTAGATGGCAGTAAAGGAAGGAATTTTTGCTGTGACCAAATTTAACAGAATTATGGCCCTTTGTTGATTTTTTCACTATATACGATATAAATAATTGAACATATAAATTTTACATTTGTAATTCAATTTAACATGTACATAAGATTACCTGTAGATCATTTTAGGTATATGTACAGAAATGAAACAGTGGAATAAAAAAGTTCCACATAAAAATCTTACATACAGATATGCATGCTCTTGTTTACGAGCACATCTGCACAGTTTGGGCATCCGTGTCCTTTGGACACAGTTCTAGTTTCACTATATACTATGTAGAAATTTTGTGAACGCAACTCCTCTTAAACGGGATGGCAGATTTTGCTTAAACTTCCAGGGATGAACAACCTTAATGTGTAGATGGCAATAAAGGAAGGAATTTTTGCTGCGACCAAATTTCACAGAATTATGGCCCTTTGTTGATTTTTTCACTATATACCATATAGAAATTTTGTGAACGCAACTCCTCTTAAATTGCTTAAACTTCCAGGGATGAACAACCTTAATGTGTGGATGGTAGTCAAGGAAGGAATTTTTGCTGCGACCAAATTTAACAGAATTATGGCCCTTTGTTGATTTTTTCACTATATACCATATATATGTTGTCGGTGGGGGGTATCCGCGTCCTTTGGACACAGTTCTAGTTTATCTTTCATTTGACCCTAATTTGACACAAGCTGCATTTTGTACAGCGCAAGCTTCATACATTTTATTTCTACTTGTTAAATTATTTGTTGGTACAGTAAATTTACTTTGATTAAAAAAATCTATTTCTGTTTAACGAGATGGTCATCTCACCAGAACGTAACAAAAAAAAAAAAAAAACAACAACAAAAAAAACACACGAAATTTGTGTCTAATTAAAGACAAGGTCCAATCTTGGATCTGGGACATTGATTTTCAATGGATAATCGTGACGTTTATATAGTTTAATACTCACGGGTACTGACAATTTATCAAGACATCTCCCTAAGTTCTCTAAAAGATTAGGCTTGCTGTGTTATAAATTCGTTATTGATATTTCTGACAGGTTAAATGGCCGTATATAAATGGTTGTTTGCAATATAATCCTTCGCCTAA